TTAAGAATATTGACAATAAATAATAAATTCAGCGACCGTGTAGAATATGGTTGTAATCTTCATTCTTACTTTAAATAATTGTAGAGCTGGACTAAAGTGCATGTATATAACGTTGCAAGGTTGCTTCAGAATGGGGTTAACCTTCATGGTATAAAAAAAAGGTAGGATATCAAGAGTGTCAAAAATAGGACTGTCACGCGCATGTCGTCACGCGTAGAGTTTGTATAGGCGCGAATTTAAAAATACTGACGAAGTGTAAGGAAAATATATGTTACAGAAATTTCATGAATATTAAGAATAATATTTTAGAAATTACATGAAATATCTATGGATATTGGATATTATTATGGGATAGTTAAGAAAAGAACTATGAAGGAACATAAATTCAAATACATACAGAGAAGAAATATTTTTTTGAATAGTTTCTTTCCTTTTTTTCAATTATTTATTTTGGTTATATAAATTCGACTTCTAAAGAACAGTTTTTATAACTTATTTACCTTAATTATATTGCCCAATTGAATAAAAATAAGTTTTAAAAAAATATTTTTTTTTTCATGTAATACAATGCAAACATTCATATAATACAAAACAAAAAAATGTACCAAATACAAATAACTGCTACATAAAATATGGTAGGTGCAAATACAAAATTAAAATAAAATGTCGCTGCATTTTTCCTGGACCTAGTCGCTGACAGTTTTTTAATTCATTCATCAAGTACAAGTCGAAATTTTCTCTTTTTTTGTGACATTTACTATTTCACTTTTGCTTATATTGCGAAATTTTAAGCCTTTAAGGGGGTAGAATCTTCAGTTCAGCAGTCCCAAGTTGTGAATGAACCAATGTGATTTACACTGGTTTATTCACAACTTCACATTATGTGAAGTTCTGATTTGAAGTCTCTCTTATAATTGGAAGTTTGAAAGTGCTTGGAATACATATGAAAATTTATCTGCATGGTCACAAGCCACTGCAAGGGCTGCTCCATGTCGAATTTTTTTGGAAAGGAGGGTAGAATTGCCTATTTAGCATATTTTTTAAATAAAAGGCTCATGAATTTTAAGAATTTTGATCTAGGGAACTGCATGCTCCCCTGGGCCTCCGCTGGAGCCGCTCTTGGGCAATTTCTCACTTCTGACTGAGCTCTTACTGTCGAGGAAAGCGAAAAACTATACTATCTCTCTTGAATCCTATCCTTTAATTGTTACTGTTACATCCGTACCACAATTTTTCAATGTTTTTTACTAAAACCTCTCACAGAGAACCAAAGTTTACAACATAATATAATACAAATATCTGCTTAATATCTTATAAATCACTATAGACGACTCACAAACTACTGCAACATACGTCTGTCATATGATATGTATTTCGCGTTAACTCTACTAACTCTACGCATGACGTCAGCGCCGCCATGACACTATGCGCGATATCCCCCACTAGTTAACCTTTTTTCTTTTACTAGAAATAGAAAATTGTAGTTATGATGATTGCATTCCGTTTTCAAAAATCTTTTTCTTTATCTAAAAGAGGTGATTATTAAATTATTACCCCTCATTCATAAATGGGTACTTCCCTAACGGTTGTTTTTAACCGTTTAAAAATGAATTACCATTATTGTTTAACTTCGCCTTTACGATATTTAGCCACCTTGTACATTTTTACTCACACGAGGGCGAATAACATACTGTGGTTGCAACTCTAAACTCAATTGTGAATATATACGGATAGACGGCCGCTTATGAATAATCGTCCAACTTCGCTTCAAAACGAGCGATTACAAACAGCCATAAAATCGAGTGCATCGTTTTATTATCCTCGGAACGGTCCTGCAGCCCGCAGGGACCAGGCGGCCGTTGAAGCCCGAGTCGAAGTAGAGTGCAGGAGGGCTTACAGTGGATGGAGGTTGAGCCGAGGCCGAGGCCGGATATTCTAGAGGTCCGCAGGGTTGAGGATGATTCGGCACCACTTCGGCGAGTATTCATCCGGGGGCGACCCGTCGGGGCCGGGAGAAAAGGGGCTTATGACCGCCGACGCTCATAAGGGATAACCGGGATGGAGAGCCGGCCCCCCACGTATAACCCAAACCCCAGCGGTGCAGCTCTTCGGCTCCCGAAACGACCTTTTCCGCACAAAGGAAAAATGTTCTTTCTCTCCCTGGCCGGAGCGTGGAAAAAAACCGCCCGGTTTAGTTACTATGGTTTTCCCAGGTGAAGAGGATGTTTTGAAAAATTAACCCGAATCAGCTATATATGGCGATAGTAGCTCTGATTTGATAAAGTACCTAGACATACTATCATCATCTAGGATAGACTTGTCTTCAGACTGTCTAAACCATGGTCTAAACAATACAATGTTTTGTCAGGATCATAAACCACACGGAAAAAGGGGGTTAGGGTACAACACACAATGACGTACTATTTCTGGAGGGTTCATTTATAATATTTTATAAAAATTATTTAATGTTCAAATCTTGATAACCCACATACATTCAATAGGTCTTCTGAACCAAAAGGGGTATATAATGAAACAATTTTTATTATACAAAAATACATTCAATATATTTTCTTATTAATTAAAATAACATTTCAAATAAGAGGAATATTTTTATTAGTATTTTAGTGCTACATTACGCTTTTGATAGTATAATTGGTAAAAATAAAGAGTTAATAAAAAATATAAGACCCAACATTACCATTTATTGTTATTATTTTTACATCGGTAGTGCCTCGATGTCCTTTTCTATGGTCGAAAGGAGAATATTCATATTTCTGACTGTTTCTTTATGAAATAAAAAAGAAAAATACGTGTGGCACTCGGGGACTGCCGCGGTAAAGCTATTGCATAGCATTTTTTATAAACTTATGTAATTATAATTATTTATTTTCCTACGACCACTTAGGAAAGTGACACATATCACACTATATAGTCCTATGAAAAGTGCCCTATATCACACGCGTATGAATAAGAATTTACTTTCCACCTGAGTGAGAATATGTTACTTTCCGCAGTAGTTGCCACAAAATGTCAAACACCTAATTTCTATTTTGATCTATGTAATGTTCATATTAATACTAAAATCGATATGATTGTTAAATTATTGAAATCGTTGTAAATTAGATCCTAGATATTTATCTTTAACAATTATTATTAAAATAATTTTAAAATAATGTTTGCTCTTTATTCTGGTTAAATACATAACCGATTATATCATTCAATTGACACAAGGGCTATTAGCTCAGGTGGTTAGGACGTCGAACTTATCAACTTTGCCATTTTTCGACCGCGTTCGAATCCTGGCGGGGCAGAATTTTTTTTTTGTTTTTTTTTTATTTTTTTTTTAGTTTTTTTTTGTTTAGAAATTGTGAAAATTGAATAAATACGATTATTGTTGATTATTTTTTTAAATACATTTTAATTATTATAGGTAGTAATAATAACCTTGGTTTTACATTTTTTTAAAGACATTATTTTGTGGTCGTAGGAAAAATATTGTACATCACTTGTGTGAAAAGTGATTTTCCACACTCGTAATGTAATATACTATTATTTTATTTATGCAGTATTTTTTTTTCTTTGATATTAATTCAAGTTACATTTTTTGAGCGTGGTGACCGATAAGAAAACACATTTTTTCTTTTATTAAATAAATGAGATATGATGTCCTCTAAATATATGAAAAATACCGCGTCAATGGTGGTCCCATATTTTGTTGTGGATTCTTGTGGATCATTATTCATTTCAAATTCAATTTTTCGATTTTTCGATTTTTCTATTTTTCGATTTTTCTATTTTCTTTTATTGAATAAATGAGTTAATATTGTTTAACGCCGCACCGCTGTGCCGGTCGGAGTGGGGGGTGTTTTTTTTCGTTACGGTGTTACGGAATTTCTTGATTCGGTCGCCGCGCTCAAAGCCCGCCATAAAAGCTATGCAATAGCTTAAAATCTATTAAACACCTTTATTCAAGACAGATAATTATACAAATATACAAATATGATCTTCACCAAAATATACCCCTTGGGTATGAAAGGGAATTCGTCCTATATGTGTACCAAGGAAAATATTTATTTAAGTTTTATTAGAGGATAATAAATTTCTCAACGGTTTTCAGATTTGAATCTAATTTCTAGTATAATTAGTGCTCTATACAATTTATTTTCTATTCACAAATTAGTTGTGGTTGAATAGTTTTAATGGCTAAAAAAGCGTTAGAAGGCGTTTTTATTTGTGTTCAATTAGCTAAATCCTTCATGGTTTTACCTTTAGGAAATAAACTTGAAAAAATGGATCCTATTATTAGTAGAAGATAATCAAGCAACGTATCTCCATGAAGGTCTTTTAAAGATTGTAAAATCAAAAATATTCTTAATTAAACAACACATTAAGTACATTATAAGAAATTATTATGATTGTTCGTTGATGACAAAGGAGGAACACACTTGTTGCTTTTGGCTACTATTGGACGAAAAATCGATTAGGACATATCTCATTGGACAGGCGAACACCTTGTAGATTAGGTGTTCATGATACTGAAAATATATTCTACTTGTAAATGGTTAGTTTGGAAAGTCTATTTATTTGTAATGAAAATTCTCCGTTTTTTTTAAATCTTATCCCCAAATTTTTTAGTAGATTTACATTTAAATTTAAAACTTTACATACATATATGACCATGGATTATTTAGAATCGTACCTAACTTGTACATTTACATGGAACGCATTGTATATTTCCTCAATTTAACATTACACAAACATGAGTTACAAATACGAGTGTGACAGAATGAAATACAAAATGCCGTTTTGTATAATTCGGGGAATGTTTTAATCAATATTATTATCAATATTGCCCTGCAGGAATTTTATGAGGTAAACAGCATCCTGACATCGCATACAACTGTCCAAAATCTTACAATAAAACTGTTGCAGTAATGCTGCTTCTATCTTCTTCGAACAGTTTCAATAATGCCATAATAAATGTTTATTTTTTGTTACAGAATTCAACTGGAGAGCCTGTATACAGAAAAGTAGCTGTAGTCGAGAATTTTTTTGATATCATTTACAACGTCCACGTAGATTTGGAGGGAAGACCTGGAAAACATGCTGGACAAAAGCGGACTTATCGTACAGTAAGTATATTTTAATTTAATAAAAACATTTTGTCTGTTTCTTTTTTATATCCTTCCGTGTTTTCAGGCGTTAGATTGGGACCCATTGCTTCTATTCTTTTCTGTTTCTGGCAAGTGTCCGGTTTTACTCTTGTCAATTCTGATCTTTTCAATCTAATGAATCTATTTTCTCCTAGGCCTTCCTCATTGCCTTTTATCTTTATTTTCCTCTTTCCATTACTTTTCACGTTACCAATTTAATTGTTTTTTATATGTATTATTATTATTATTGATTCCTGTTTAGTTAGTTTTCTTACATCATTATTCCTTACTCTGAACTCTGACCCATTTATTTTGTCGCGCAATTTTTTCAAATGTGTCATTTCCTTTGTATTTATTTTTTGTCTCATGCTTTTTTAATAGTACCCAGTTTTCTCTAGCATAAGTTATTGTTGATAATGAAATTATTCCAATATTTTCCAATATTTTCAAATATTTTCCAATATTTTTCAATATTTTCCAATATTTTCCAATATTGTCCAATATTTTCCAATATTTTCCAATATTTTCCAATATTTTTCAATATTTTTCAATATTTTTCAATATTTTCTAATATTTTCCAATATTTTCAAATATTTTCCAATATTTTCCAATATTTTCCAATATTTTTCAATATTTTTCAATATTTTTCAATATTTTTCAATATTTTCTAATATTTTCCAATATTTTCAAATATTTTCCAATATTTTCCAATATTTTCCAATATTTTCCAATATTTTCCAATATTTTCCAATATTTTCCAATATTTTCCAATATTTTTTAATTTTTTCCAATATTTTCCAATATTTTTAAAATATTTTCCAATATTTTCCAATGTTTTTCAATATTTTCCTAACAAATTTTGCCTCTTGACAAAAGATGGTGATATATTGCAGAACAAGAATCCGATGTCACTCAGTCATCAAAGAGCAACAGCAGAATGAGCTGCCAGCAGCAGTATTGCCAAACTGAAAATTCTAAAAATCGATATATTTTTTCGTCAAAAATCGGTAGAAATCGGCAGATTTGAAAAAAAGGAGGCAAATTTGAAAAAGGAGACAAATAAAAAAAACTATATAAAATAGAAAACAATTTGAATTTTACAAAAAATACGATGGGAAAAACTCATTAAAAAATACACAGTATTCTAAATATATTCTTAATATCCAATTTAATCTTCCTTGTATAAATTGTTTCTGTTCATAAACGACAGTAATTGTTTTTCAACGGGAAAAGTGTAACAATTGCTGTTACCTATATATTTTTTAGCATGTAGCAATCCTGTTATGCTTTCGGTATTTAATTTCTTTGTTTAGTTTTCATTAGATTGATAGCTGAAAATATTTTTTGTGCATTAGCTGTTGAATGTGGAAGAGATAATATATTGAAAGCGAATGAACTCAAAATAGGGAACGTTGCAGTTCCGTCACCCATTTTCAATTTATTTACTTCTTGCCAAAATGATGTGGCATCGTCTGAAAACCCTGAATTTCCTAAACATTCCCATTCATTGTCAAGTATTTGCATTTGGTTTTCTGTTATTTTAAATTTGGAAATAAAAGTGCTACTTTCGAAATAGAGCTTATAGAACCATCTTTCACTATATCAGGATTAAAAAAAGTCAAATCCTGGTAGATGAGGTCCCGTAATTAGGTAGATTAATTCCTAAATCGGTATATCGGTAGAATGATTCCAAAATCGGTAGATCTACCGAAAAATCGCTAGGGTTGGCAACACTGGCTGCCAGTGCATTACAAATAATCGTAAAGTAAATGCTGTCACTCTGCGTATTATTTTAATAAACTACATCATTTTTAATTTCTTGTGTATTTTGATGGTACGAGTTTCGGCCTACACATAAGAGTTGAGTTTTTAAGAAACCTTTCTACGTACGGAAAAAAGTTCTATTTTTACCAAAAACTACTTGTAGAATGAAAAATAAAGTTTTATTCTACTAGGCCCATATTTGTTATCCCTGCCCAAAATTTGGTCAATTGGACTCACAGAACAATATTTAAAAAATATCTTATTTAAACTGTCTAACTCTACACGGAGAAAAAACGTTGCTAGTGAGTATTAAAAATTTAATAATGGTTAAAAAAATTTAATACTATAGCAAATATGAATGCTAATAAATTTAGCTGCAAAATATTAACTAAATTAAAAAGTGAAACTGAAACACAATAACTACATAATTTAATGTAACTTCACTAGAAAACAATAATACAAGAAAACAGTGGCTAATGGTGTTTTATTTTTAAAAATGTTGACTGCAAATGCCATAATGGGAATTCAGATATTGTTTTTCCTATATCAAATCTTTTCTTCACCGTTTTAAAGCTATTTTCTTGCTCTAAAACAATAAATAATAATAATAATAATAAATACCTTGTGACAAAAGTTAGCTACTGTATTGTCTACTGTTCTCCATGTCTAATGTCTTTTTACAAACGACGTATACCTTTAGTTAACATCTGGACCCATAGATGACGCTGCGGTTGTTAATGTATCTGATTTCTGACTATTATTTATGTTGGGATTTAGTTTTCATAGATATCTAGTTATTTGTTTTGAATTCATTTCATTTATTAAATTGGGCTGCATATATTTTCAATTCTATATTTCAGTTTTGTCTCATAATTATAACGAAGTACCTTTCTGAAAAGCTTGGTTTGGATATTGGTTACCAATTTTGAATATAAATTTTGGGTTTTCTGAAAACTACAGTTCTTAGACAACAAAAAGAATACTAAGAAAACATTATTGATGATGCAATTTGTGTGTTAGTGACAAAATAGAGGTTATAGGTATTCATTAACATTTTATTTCTATTATTTTCAAAATACTTTTAAAATGATTTAAACCAATGGTTTGTTTTGGTTAAAAGTTAACTGTCAGTGGAAAACAAATTACGTCACATTAATATAGCGTACCTGTTGTTATACATCTGTCAGTTTTCAGTCAATATCAAAAGAAACATAGAAAATCTGAATAAAACGGAAAGTAATAAAAGTTATACCGGTAAATATAAATTGTGATAATATAGTATTGGATTTGATATCTTTCGATGTTTGTTATTTAAATTCATTCAATATTATTGTATTATATGATCAGACTTTATATTTTTGAATAAATAGGGCTGTAACTGTATTCATTGCCGTCATTTTCCTTTCACGTTAGCATTCAAAAATAAAATGAAAAAGTTGCATTTGACGCGCGTGATAATCCACGTCAACATCAACAATATGCTTTCACAATTATTAGACAAACGTATAGGCTCTGCGAGAAATCCACATTCGAGGAAATCGTCTAAGTCACACAAAATAACATACCAACAATACCGAAAACCCCCCATAGATTATTACCTATATTTATGCTGTACATATATATTTATAAACAATGGATACGTTTCCAGATAACGGAGACATATGCGTTCCTGCCAAGGGAAGCTGTCACCCGTTTCCTGCTCGGCTGCACCGAGTGCCAGAAACACCCTCGATCTCCGTCTCCGACGTCTGTGCTACCTACGCCTAGCCCCAGCCCCACCTTGCCCCCGGTGATCCAGCAGAACCCCCCTGCGACCACGCCAATGCACACGGCGCCCTCGGGGGATCGGCACACTCAGCAAGATGACGGAGGTTACTACGGAGTGAAAAATGGAGGTTGGTATTTTTCCTTTTTTTTTACCTTGTAGAGAAAAATCGAGTGGTTTTATATTTCAGTTAAGAGGATTGGGGCGCGAATTGTTGAGGAGGTAAATTTAAATTGAAAAATTGAGTGGTAGACAGATATATTTAGCGGGAGCAAATCTGGATTTACCTGCAATCCGAACATATATTTTTTTATAACGCTCTTACCTGTAGATTGAAATCGAACCGACTTCAAAAGTGAAGTGATGTAGTACTAATCTTTTTTAAATTGGCGCAAAAAATCTCAATATTTTTAGATATAACCTTCCTTTATGCTTTTATTTCGTGGCATGCGTTGAACGGGCGATTCAAAACTGGGTCCAGAGTCAGGTAAGAAACATTAAATATTTAGAAAAGTGGGCGCAGATCTAAAATTTTCCCGCTCGAGTACATACGAAACTAGTTAAGTTTTTTTTTATTTTCATTTTATGTATAATTTTATGGCGAAGGAATCCGTGATTGTTCTAGGCCGCTCAGGTTAAGTAAATTAGTTAAGTTTTTTTAATTTTTCTCATTTTGTGTATAATTTTTTTGCGAAGCAACCCGCTATGGCTTTAGTCCGCACATGTTAGGTAAATTAGGTTTTTTAATTTTTCCATGTCCAATTCTCCTACCTGCTTAGATGTCTGGGTCATTACCAACTGTACTTCTAAGCATGCAAAGATGAATCTGGCCACTTGGCGATTAAGTCCATTTTCGATACATTGCACTTACGTTTATAGTCGGAGAGCAAGTGAACATTTCGCGTCATTACTCAAAGTAGGCTAAAAATTTGCAAAAAGGTTGCCATATACAGTTCACCAAATTTCTAGAGGCTTTCGACGGCTAGACAGAGAAAGCACTACTGACAGGCATCCCGACGGATTTACGCAATGAAAGTACAATCTGCGCATCAAGTATTTCACTATTTCATTCAGACGTAAATGTCAGATATAAATTTCGCTAAAACATTTCTTTTATTTTCGTTTGTGTTTTTTGCTCATTACAGTTTAATAGAACCTAAGTATGGAGTTTAATAGCAAATTAAGAGGCCGCGTGATTAACAGTCAATCTCGCGAAATAATAGCCAATGTTATAGAGTTTATGAGAAGAGAAGGAAACTTTAATTCACCTTCAATACCATTTAAAAATGTAAATGATCGTGTTGCTGCAGCCACAGGAGTATCTAAAAACACTGTCGTCCGCATTTCTGGAGAGAAAAAAAGAATCGATAACCGTGAGATATCGGAATTTTCATCACCAAGAAAAACCATTAAAAAACCAAAAACAGTTGAAGCTGCACAAGAATCAAATTTAATTTTTTTATTATTAGATAGCTATTTTTGTTTCTGAGTTGTGTTCATTTACAGGCTCAATTTTTTTCCGTTTCTCCTTTTTGATTTTATATGGGGTTTCAAGTTGTTTTTGACTTATTTCGACGTAAATCACAACAACACACTTTTTTAATAAAGCAAACAAGTGTTAAGAGGTATATGTACGTGTAAACTACAATTACAAAAAATTGATATGAAACCCATGAAACCACCAACAAAAATGTAAAGCTAGCTTCCGTACTAGAACATGGTGTCATTCGTCGAGATAATTTATCGTTTTGTTTAATAGATCAAGAAATGTAAATATTCCCCTGTTATTTTTTATAAAATTATAAGAGAAATAAATTTTTTTCTAAATAGTATAGTTTATTATTTTGTAGAAAAACAAAATTTCGAAAATTTTAGTAATGTTTCAGAAACAACCGTTATTAATAATAGGTACCATTTTCCTTAATAAGGTAGAAATAAAATATAAACTATTTCCACGATTTACAAAGGCCTACAAAAAAATTATAGGTATTTTCCGCTATCCTATAAAATTTATATTTTCTGACTCAATTTCAAAAGGTTGAAGGAATTCCAAAACACCTTTTATGGCATAATAATTATTTTCAATTCTACATACTATCTTTAGCTGCTTTTAAAAACGTTCTAAGAAAGTCCAATCAGACCAATTTAATCCCTAAACTATTCCACACTTTTAAAATTTAATTACCTAAAAATATTAAAAACTATTTAAAATAACTTATTTAGCAGACTGTACAATAGATATCTTAGTCACACGTAGCGCGTTCTCTGTCTGGGCGTCGAACACCTCTAGAAATTTGATGAACTGTAAGTTGCTATTTCGAACGTTTCAATAGGGGGATATGCAGAAAGAGATCACCCCAAAGTCGTACAATAGTAGTCGAAATTTTTATTATTGCAAGTTGGTCGAAACTTCTTTTACTCGCTGGTGTGTTGCCTTGATTTGTTTTATGGATAGTAAGAAGTACAGTCGGTAATGTCTGGGCTCACTTACTCAATGGGCTTATATTTACGTGTTTACGAGCCCTTCGGATTAACAGCTATTGGGTCCAGATTTGTACTACCTCGTCAAACATTTTAATCCTTTAGGTAACCTTCATTTTTGGAGTCGAATTGGATCTGACATTTTCCTTATTACCTGAGATCAAAAAAGGTGAGGTAAGATAAGATACGAGTTAGAGTCGGAATACTTTCTTAGTGTTGTAATTAGTTTCGTAAGAATATTGGACAATGTTGCCAACAGTCATGGAATATGTAAAAACCACACAAATAATTTCTTATTTATTAAGAATTTATATACATGCGTGTTAAATAAAATTAAATACTATAAAGAAAAAATAATACAAATGATCTAAATTTATTACAAATTGACTTTAAAATAATAAGAGATATGTTGAACGAATTCTAGTTTTGTTATTTTGTTTTGGGAAAGTTCTTCAATTTTTAAATCATTCGCTTCTTTTCAAAATAGCCTTATCATAAGAGTTGGTACTTTTGGTAGCAACATTGATACTTCTTGTTTTAATATAAGAATAAATTTGATTGATATTATAAAATGACACTTAAAAATGGTGTAAATTAGTATAAGAAAATGATTCACATCTATTTGTCGTTCTAGCTAAACAGGGAAGATTGTTCCACACAAATATGAGGTGGGAATTTTGAATCCTCAGATAAATAATTATCAACTATGTAAATAATCGCAAAATTTTATTATTTTCACCGAAATCAATCGCAAAACAGTCGCCTACATTGTTCGATTGTAGAAATGGTAACCCAAAAATGAATTTCATAATTTCTGTTTCCAAGTAATTTTTAAATTGGTAGTCACTGTCCTTAGGTCCTGTACCAGAATTGGCTTAAACGAAAACAACAACTTTAAATATTAGATTCAGGAAAACTGATCTAATTCCTTTATGAATTATAGCTTTAAAATCGGCAGTTATGGTATTCAGTGAAAAATAAAAATTGAGCTTAAAACATTCTTCCTTTACTGTTAACTGGTTAAAGTAATTATGAATTTAAAATGTTTTACGTTGGAGCAAAAAAAATCTTTTATCATTACTGTGATTATCTTACAGTATACTAAGAACAAGTAAAGAGATTTAGTGAAGGTAAATATACCTATATCTAATTGATCATTTAACAGGTCTGCAAAAAATTATTGTCAGCTCCATTTCCCTCCATCATATACAGTTTTTTTTTGCAAAACATGGGGAGTTTATATTAAAAAAACGCAACAGCGATGAAAAATAAATATTTCATTACAATGAACTATGCATAATTTTTCTTATAATTGAAAAACAAACTATTCTGCTGTTTCCTTTCTGAGTATCCAGTAATCAGCTAGCATTTTGACGTCTGATCTTCTTTGGTATCGTCTCTCGAAATCACGGACATCCTGATCTTTCGCGCTCTTCATTTTAAGCTTCTAAGTTTTCGGGAAAACAGTAAATAAGAGAGTGTTTTATGAGTTTTGCAAGAAAACCTAACGTGATGGAATTTTTTAAATATTTTTATTTTCAGCGAGAAAAAAATTATAAGAAACAGTTTTTGGTTGCAAACCTGTGTTAAAGCAAAACATACTCACTGGGGATTAGACTGACAACAACCAAAGGTAAAGAACTATTAGCATCATGCCATCAATACAAATGTCAATTTCAGCTGGAATTTTTTATAATTAAGAATATCGCCTCAAATTATATGCATATAGAGGAATCATGTGACATAAACTCAGATCATTCTTCCATACTTCTTACTTTGAGTGATACTGTAATCAAAAAAGAAAATTTACCTAAACTAGTCAATAAAGGCACAGACTAGAAAAGATTCAAAATCAACTTAGAAGAACTAATTGATCTTTTGATTCCATTAAGAACTAAGGAACCATTAGACCAAGAAGTTGAACTTTTTGTCAAAAATATTCAACAAGCAGCGTGGGAAAACACTTTTGAGATTAAAGGAAAAGTGCAAGATAATAATTATCCAAAATAGATCAGAGAAAAGAACAATTAAAAGAAAATGGCGACAGTCTAGAGCACCTGATGATAAAACAACTTTAAACAACGCAACACAACATGAAATACGGCTCAATAAAAATGAGTCGATTGGCGAATACTTAAGTGAATTAACTAACGATAAAGGTACCATTTATTCACTCTGGAAAGCTACCAAAGGATTAAAAATCCCTACTATACATAACCCACTAATCAGAAATAGAAATGGAAGCTGGGCCCGAAACAATTTGCAAAAACAAACAGATTTGCGAAACATTTAGAGAGTACCTTCCAACCCAATAATAGTGAAGATCTTCAAGACTGGATGGAATTAGCACAAGCAGACTCGTTAAACCCACCTCTCCAAAAGAAGTTAATATTGTCGCCTTAATGCAGAACTATTGTATGTCACAAAATGTTAATTTTACAAAACAATTTTTTGCCTTCAGAATAAATGAAAGGTTCATGTTTTACAACATTTTTACTAATCCTCTGGATTTGACCTCATTACTGGGAAATTTTGAAAATGCTTCCACGGACAGCTATTGTCAAAATTGCCAATCTCATGAATGCGCCCTTTAGACTAAAGTGCGTACCAAAGATGTGGAATGTTGCAGAAGTTATAATGATACCTAAGCCAGGTAAACTTTCCCATGAAGTTACATCGTACAGACTCATCTCCTTTTTACCTGTTATCTCGAAACTCTATGAAAAATTGCTTCTTAAGAGATTGAAACCTATAATAGAAGAAAAGGACCTAATACCCTCCCACCAGTTTGGCTTCAGAGAAAAACACTCGACCATCGACATCGACCAAGTTCATCGAATCACAGATATCATTTAAAAGTCCCTAGAAAAAAGCAAGTTTGCTCCACCGTCTTTTTGGATGTGGCTCTGGCTTTCGACAAAGTATGGCATGAAGGCCTGATTCAAAAACTGAACAAGTTCTTGCAATGGCAATACTCCGAGCTATTAAAATCATATTTATCAGAAAGGTATTTCAGAATTAAATAGGAAGAAGTCTATTCCGACCTAAAAGAAATTAAGGCAGAAGTACCTCAAGGTAGTGTACTAGGTCCAGTACTCTACTTGTTGTATACCAGAGATATTCCCAATCTTGAGCCCAATACTAGCACAACATTTACTGATTGTACCGCAATCCTTGCTGTTGGAAAAAATCACGAAGACACTTATAAAAAAATTGCATAAATCTATAGACCAGATTAACACCTGGACGAAAAGATGGCGAATTGAATGAAGGCAAATCTGTTCGTATCAACTTCAACAATTAACAAAATGAATATATTCCTGTTAGAATAAACGACACTAAGATCCCTTTTGCCAATACAGCAACATATCTGGGTACGATGCTAGACTTTGCTGAAAAGTCCATATTAAAAAGAAACGCAAAGAGCTTGGTATAAAATAAAAAAGAATGTATTGGTTGCTAGGATAAAATTCTAAATTATCCACATACAACAAACTGCTTCTTTAAAGACAGATATTAAAACCCGTATGGGCATATGGTATCCAGCTTTGGGGCTACGCCAGTAAAAGTAACATCCAAATTATTCAACATTTCCAGAGTAAAGGAACATCATCCATGCACCCTGGTACTATCGCAATACTGATTTTCATAGGGACCTTAAAATTAAGACTGTTGAAAATACAATACAAAAATTTTCCAGTAGTCACCAGCATGGAAACCTTGAGATTATCCAGCTTCTCAGTAGTGCTAATCTAATAAGAAGACTCAGTGAACCAAACCTTTTGATTTAGTTCAGTGATGTTAGATAAAAGCAGAATATAATGCAGTTTAGGGTTATACGTTAACGATAGTGTAACTAAATAATTAGACTCTAAAGTACACTATTAAGTAGAATCTGAATGTATTAAATTTTTCATCCCTAGATAAGTTAGGTGAGAATAAAATTGCTAATTGATCTTAAAGATCAGGTTGTACTTATCGTAAATGATTCTTTACTTGGGGCATTTATTAAAAAAACCTGTGTTATCTGATTTTTTAAAGTTTGTCTAAATGGTTAAATTCAATGCCCTTATTTTAAGCTAAATCTCTTTACTATAATTACTTAATTAATTTGATTATTTTGACCCATATAGTTGATTAGAAATTAGTTTCGTCTGAAGAAGAAGTTGTTCTTTGAAACATGTCATGTTTAATCTTAGATTAAATAAAATTTAGTAGTCAGGACGTTGGAACGGCAATTCAGAGTCCGAGCCCCGCCCAGAGCAGATTTTTTTTATTTTTCATTTTTTTTTGGTTTGTTATCGTCTCCTGATTTCTTTAGTATTTATTTCGGCAATTTAAATCGAAACAAATTTTGATTCCTTATTTTCAATTAAATAAAATTATTTTTGAACATCAGCGGAATTTAAAAACTGAATATAAGATAAAATTTTAAATAGTTACCAATAATTGAATTACTTCCATATTCGTTAGCTAAGCACTTGAATTTTTATAAACCAAATTTGGCACAGATGAAATTGGCACCCGATAAGTAAAAATAAATGCTGCAACCTAACTTTTAATATTATGTTGTGCAATTCAAGTTAATCCCAACCGGATCCAATTTGGTTACTTTACATGTTACCCTCATTGGACACCCTCCAACTCGTCTTTCCCGTGTTTTTGTGACAATTTTAATCAATCGTAAAGATTAAGGTTACTTCGCCTTATACAACTAGGATTGCCAGGAGTATTATTTTATTAATATAAATTAATCTATAATTTATTTACTTTATGGAATTTCGTAAATTTCGTCTCCAACTCATTTACCGACCTTTCCTTAAAACGCTTTTGACTTAATCTCAATTATTTTTATAGTTAACAATAGCTATGATTTTTTTTTCAGCGATCATTGCACCATGTAACACTCCCCCAATAGATCACCACATCGTCAACCACCAAGAACGCTCTTTATCGCCGCTTAAAAAAGAATCCCCTTACGTTCGAATCACTACACCTGAACCACAACAACAAAAAAGATCCAATAATCCATTGGATGTCTGCAATTTAACCTCTAAAGATCCACCGAGAAGCCCTCCGAAACGCCTTCATCAGGATACGGTTCCGAAACTTTGGTCGCCGGTGGACAGTTTGGACAACGATGAACCTTACAAGAAGAGGCTGATTCTTGGAGGAGGTAAGTCTAAGTTAACACTTTGGATTGGAATATTTCCAGTGTTTTGATTTTTAAGTTTAATACAGAGCCTCAAAGTTGAATGCCCTAAGTATATACAAACTTCAAAATAGTTTTCTATATTTTTTCTTTTTTATTGATTAATAATTGGGATTTTCGGCCAATTAACCATACCTAGTTGTTTTCTTTCAATGAAATTAATATGTTTCCTCCTCGTTGGCGACATCACATCACGACATCACTTTTCAATAGTACCTCACACTGTTTTTGTTTATTAATTATAAAAATAGTATATATATTTTTTTTTCAGGTGACATTGATTACTCTTTACCTATCACGACGACTTACCTGAAATATATGAGAAGCTTGGGTTGTAGAGACGAAGACGCCTTCAAATTCGACAACAAACACGTGAGTTTGGTTCTTGATCGATTTTTGCATGAGACCATAACTCACTATTTTCATTAATTAAAATATTTTCGTTTATTTGTGCATGCTGTTATTAAGTATATTTATTTCTAATTTTAAAGGATCTTTTAAATATTGATTCTAGAAAATCTATTTTTTATGTTTATAAGAACTACCCAAAAATTTCTGTACCTGTTAAAAAAAAAGAAAATCGTGTACGATCGTATTGAATCTGTTTATAAGTTATGTAAATTAGTCGTTAAAGTTTTTAGTTATAAATTGTAGTTAAGACTATTTTAAGTTAAATACATAATAGATATTAATTGGGAGACCTAGAAGAATGCATACCGTACCTATACGTACTTACACCAAAGAGTATTTATTGAATAGTTGTAATTTGAATAAAGGAGGATATTTTCTAAGATTCTATTTTTTTGACAGTATATTTTTACCGGATTTTAAATAAGTAATCGGTCTTTCCTAAAAATTTAAGATTATAGAAATTTTTTGATTATTTATTTACATAAATGTCAAGTTTCAGAAGTAATTATATAAAAACGAAAAATTTAACTGGAACACACTGTATATTTTTAAATATTTATATTCTATATATGGTACTACGTACTATCGAACTACTACGAGGCTTGCCTTTTATATTTCGGAATTATAAAACAAAAACAAATATTTATCATTCAAAATGGTTCTATTGTTTTTCGAAATATTTTCTACCAAGTTCAACACACTATTTTATACGCTCAACTGTTTTTTTAAAAGTCGAAAAATGTTAACTTCGAAATTATATAATAATAATATAATAATAATACTCTCCCTAATTCAGCCCCTTACGAGTGAATTTTAACCCCAAAAGCTGAGCTTATGCGGGGAACGGGACGGCTATGATTTGCCGTGGCGCTCCGGGGCGACTTAAAGATGATTGATGGTGCCATTTGTCTTACAGGTGAGGAAAACCCGGAAAACCTCACCCACCATCATCGAGACGGTAATGCATTTCGATTTTATAATCTGCATGTCATATTAACAGAAATTGAATTTCCATTAATACGGCACACATCAAATCCTATACCGAACCATGCAATTTAATTAAAAATCCACATGGTCCGGCCTGGGATTCGAAGTCCGGCAGTCTCGGACCATAAACTTGCCTATAAATGAATATAAGCGCGTTAGACTGCTACACCACCGACCCGATTCATTTTAGATATTCGGGATGACCCATTAACCCACTTGTTTGTACCGATGTGTGAGAGCTCGCATTGTCGTGTTAAAAAAATATAAGTTAAATCATAAAAAAAATCTAATCAAATAAAATTAAGGAACCAAGATTTCAATAATGTTTTAAATAATTTGTAAGAACTGTTCCTAAAGTGGCATTGGGAAACAATAAAAAAGCCTACACAAAATACTTGAATTAATTATTTTTTTATAAAATACTGGTTGTTCCATTTAAATTATTGTTTTTATACCTTTCTTTCAACATCGGACGTCAGCTATCAAATCATTTTAAATTAGATCTATTTAGTAGAACTACTTATTCCAAATCAAACAAAAAATGTCAGTCCACTCAAAATTATTAAAATTGCCTCTGGTTTTTGTAAAAAGTGTTGGGTAATAATTTTAAATATTGAAGATTTTCTATCTTTAAACTAATAAATACGAAGTACCTGGCCCAAAAGAAGGATATACAAAAAATAACAGGTAAGTAACATTTTATTTTAAAAATGTTTATGAATTTTTTAACACCTTTGCTGCCGCTTTGTCGTATCACATCTCATTTTCCGCTCGAAACAAGATGAAAATAGTAGTTTTCCTACGACCACTTAGGAAAGTGACTCATATCACACTATATAGTCCTATGAAAAGTGCCCTATATCACACGCGTATGAATAAGAATTTACTTTCCACCCGTGTACGAATATGCTACTTTCCGCATCAGCTGTCATAAAATGTCAAACGCATCATTTCTATTTTGATCTATGTAATGTCCATATTAATACTAAAATCGATATGATTGTTAAATTATTGAAATTGTTGTAAATTAGATCCTAGATATTTATCTTTAACAATTATTATTAAAATAATTTTAAAATAACTAAGTTATGTTTGCTTTTTATTCTGGTTAAACACCTAACCGATTAGATCATTCAATTGACGCAAGGCCTATTAGCTTAGGTGGTAGAGTATCAAACTTGCAATTTGAGACCTGGCGAGCGACTGCGTTCAAATCTTTGCGGGGGCAGAATTTTTGTTTGTTTTTTTTTTAGTTTTTTTTTTTTGTTTAGAAAATATGAAAATTGAATAAAGATTATTGTTGATTTTTTTTTTTTAAATACATTTTAATTATTATAATAACCTAGTTTTACATATTTTGATGAAATTATTTTGTGGTCGTAGGAAAAATATTGTACATCACTTGTGTGAAAAGTGATTTTCCACACTCGTGTGATAGTCGCACTCGGCTTGTGCCTCGTGCGACAATATTTCCCACTCGTGTGAAAAATGTCTCTTTCCATACTCGTAATGTAATATACTATTTTGTAACAAGAGTGGATATGTATAATTCATTCGAGTTGTACCGTATATTTTTTCTACGACACTAACGAAAATCTACAAATTTTAAAAATTATTTTAATTATTATTTTACTTTAAAATAATTTATGACTTTTACTAATTTATAAAATGAATAATTAATTTTGTGTTAGTTTTATTAAAATTTATGATTTATTTGTAAATATAGACGAAATAAAAATAGAAATTATATTATTTATGGATTTTTCACAAGATTAACTCATTTTAATGTGTATTTAATCTTCATTACTAAAAAATATACTAATGATAATTAGTTTGACAAAATAAAAAAAAATAAAAGTAACCGGGAGATCAAAATATGAACCGTAATTAGTGGATTTCATATTTAGGCAGTGTTCTTACTAGGTAGAATCGATATGAAATATATTCTTTCAGCTAAACGAAATGGCATACTTTTTCGTTTTGTAGTCTGTGCGTTATGCGTAGAATAACTAATATCCATGTGGGTGTAAAAAAATAAATATCTTTTTAACGCAAACTATAATAATTTTGATTGCCCCCGTCAAAACGTAGAAAAATTAAACATTTACAAAAAAACTATTTTACAACTATAAAGAAAAAACATACTTACAATTTTTAAAGAAGCCCTTTTTTCACTGCGAAGGCACAACACTATTTTCTCAACTTCTCAATCGGCGATCCCAGTCCGGTGACCCTCAGAAGAATGGTCAACTGTTATCCGTCGATTCCCCAAAGTATTTCTAATATTGCCAAAAAACTGCTTATAACTAAATATATAGCGCGGATTTGGGGCCTCTGAAATGATCTATTTTTTAAATATTTTATAAACTAAGTAGGGTGGTGACTCGTTTAGTAAGAACTACAATATATAAACAATTTTAAAAAATTCGGAAATAAATGGTCTAGATTGTAGCTCTCTTATAGAACGAGTTGCCATACTATTTAGAAAACATACATTTTATAATCCGACTAAATATGTGGTTTTTACAAAACGCTTCAGCACTTTACCAAGTAACATGGGCGTCGTTTTGGGGGGCAAGGGGGGGGGGGCAGTTGCAAAATCGAAATTAAATCAAAGAAATAAATGGACAGCTATATAATATGAAGAAAAAACCTTTATTTTTGTAATAATAATAGTAATACTGGAAATAATAGACATCAGAAAAGGTTTTAAATAAACATCCTTTAAATCTTAAATGTTTAGCAAATGATTAGATTTCTGCCTTTAATTATTGCATATGGCTGAAATGCAATCTTGTGACTTATTGATAGGAAGCCAGTTATAATCATTAATTTCTATGAGTTCTTTTAAACTAAAAATGACGAAAATATAAATTACAATCGCAAATATACCAATTATTTTTGTTAATACGTTTTAATTCTACGTTATTATATAATGATAATGTTTTTATTTTGACATTATTTAACCTATTCTTCAATGACAACTTATTAGGCTTAGGCAAGATCTCATACATTTTCTTGTAAATAACTGCCTATGTTTTATTATTGATTTTTATTGATTATACTACTTTTTTTAGCTGAAGTAATACAAATAAATAATAATAATAATAATTTTTTCACTTGTTTTACAAATCCATATACTTTTATAAAAATTAACATATATATTTTTTAATTACGAACTCTATTAAAAATTGTATTGTCAGTATACGCAAATATCGTCCGTTAGTTCATAAAATAGTTGCCGCTGCTGTCACGCACGGAGCGAATAATGAATGAAAATAGGCTGACTGAAAAATAAATTGTTTTCTGTTATCGATGTTTTTAGTAGAGAAAAAATAAATTTAAAATTTGCGTTTTCCTAGTGTTTTTTTGTGTTCATCGTCGTGTTTGAGTGAGTTTTTTAATGTTTTTGTTTTTTATAAATTTTTATTTTTTATATTATTATGTATGGCTGTGTCTTCTTGTTCATATTTTTCTTTCATATCACACCTGTTTGTTTTTTAAAAATGTGTTTTAAATTTCCTGTTTTTTCTTTATTTTAGTTTTGTCTTTTTTGTTGAGTTATTTTATTTATTAGAGACTTGTTATGACAACTTAGATATCACTTCTGTCAAATAGGTCAGTGACATTGTTAGGGTTACTACTAAAGTTCCACTCCCCCTTATCTTCGCTATTCAGTGAGATATCGAAATAATTTTGTTTTGTTTGAAAAACTAGAAAAAATACTTTCTTTTGATGGATTCAATTGTTCTTACTTCCGGTTTTTCCGGAAATAACAGAAAATCGAAGTTTTTTTTTTAATTTTAAAAGGAAACCCTCTTTTTATTGTAAATTTAAATTTCTGGGACATTTTTGTATAATAATCGTGTATTGACAATTTTCTGTCAGCTGTCAAAATGGCCGTCATATTGGATAATATTTTTTCTAAATATGTTACTATTAATTCGTTTATGGAAAACATATAGGAATGTACGAACTTTAGAAAATCTTTTTAGGTTTCAAAATTTCCATTGAGACCCATTTACCTTATACCAGTGGCGTATCTAAGCATTTTTATTATTAGCAAACCGTTTAATAATTCCATCCGGTTTTATCTTCGTTGTTAATTGCGATATTGGAATTAAAACTTATTTGTTTAAAAGCTTGGAACAAATACTCTCATATACTGGATTCAATTGGTGTGTGACTTCATGGCTTACTTCTGTTTTATCGAAAATAACAGAAAATTTATTTTGAATTTTTAAATAGAAACCCGTTTTTATTGAAAATTTGAATTTTAGGGACATTTATAGATAAGAATCATATGTATTTTCTGTCAGCTGTCAAAATGACCATCATATTGGAAAATATTTTTTTTAATATGTTACTGACAGAAAATTTTCAATATACGCTTCTTATACAAAAATGTACCAGAAATTCAAATT